TGGGTCGTGAAGATCTTTTTTGGATAGTTCTTCTGTGTATTCTTGCCACCTCTTCTTAATATCTTCTGCTTCTGTTAGGTCCATACCATTTCTGTCCTTTATTGAGCCCATCTTTGCATGAAATGCTCCCTTGGTATCTCTCATTTTCTTGAGGAGATCTCTTGGAGGGTGGAAAAATGAAAAGCGTGTAGTGGTCTCTGTTCTAAAGCAGTTCTGAAATTTAACCAGAAAATGTCCTTGATTATGGCTTGGTTCTATCTTCTGATAGTGGTTTCGTAATTCATTACAGATGGTTCCTAATTTATGCTGGCTCCACTTTGGATTTTTTGGCTTTTTGATTGTGTGAAAGTGATACATATGAAGTAGAAACTGTACTTTGAATTTTGATCTTTTCCCAGGCTAGCAATATGTATGATACTCTCTCATGTTTCTAGGCAGTGGCAGGGAGTTGCAGCTCCCAGTCAGCCATGTAATCATGAGGGTGAACACCCGATACACTTAAACATCCTTTTGTACTCAAGAAACAATTATGTTTTTCATTTTCAGTACAGTATTCAATAATTTGGGCTTCCTGGGTAGCTCAGCTGGTAAAGAATCCTCCTACAGTGCGGGAGACCTGAGTTTGATCCTTGGGTTGGGAAGATCTCCTGGGGGCGGGCATGGCAACCCTCTCCAGTATTCTTGCCTGGAGAATCCCATGGAGAGAGAAGCCTGGTGGGCTGTAGTCCATGGGGTTGCAAAGAGTCAGACATGACTGAACGACTAAGTATAGCACATTCAATGAATTACATGAGAGATTCAGCACTTTATTATAAAATACACTTTGTTTTAGATAATTTTGCCCATTTGCAGGTTATTGAAAATGTTGTAAGCACACTTAAGGTAGGCTAGGCTAAGCTATGATATTTAGTAGCTTAGGTGTAGTAAATGTATTTTCAACTTATAATCAATTTATTTAGACTTAACCTCATTGTAAGTTGAGGAAGATCTGTATTATTCTTAGCTCTTGGCTGGGTCTTTCTGGCTCTTGGCTCTATTCTCTGAGTCCTTTTTACTTTTCATAAGAAGTGGGCTTTGTTTGCATCTGAGTAGTAGTTTTATTCTGCATTATGTGACAGTTAAAAGCCTAAAGGCTTTTTTCATTTGAGATAGTGTTTTGTTTTAGTACAAACTGATAGAACTCCATTAACCACTTTGTGGGTTTCCTATATATAAGATTAGAAGTGCATTCCATTAGACAAAAGTTACATCCACAGTTCTTAACTGAGACACGATTCTCTCCTCTTTCTTACTGAGATAGGATTCTCTCCACCTTGGAGCCCACTAACGTGGGTTGTGTAATTTCTCAGAAGCCCTTTTACCTCCCTGAGAGAACAT